AAAAAGTTGAGGGAAAACAACAACAACAAAAAATTCAGCTCCATCTTTTAAAAAAAATTACCAGGGATTATGTTTTGGTGGTCACTCAGAGAGAGGGAATCCCTTAAAACATGTTTTATAAGAAGCAGGATTACAGCTTTGTATATATTTGGTAAAATGTTGGGCACAGTGCCTTATGGGAGCTTAAATAATATTTTCTTAAGGACTGAAATTTAACAGAGAAACTTACAAGGGAAGAGGAATGCAGTTCCTCCTTATGAAACACGTTCATCAGTCTGATGCTTTAAGTACAACTTCTTTGGAGTTCATAATATGTTGTCTTCAATCATTGGCAATCAGAGGTTTGAGTCACCAAAATAAATCTTCAGGGTTTAGTACACAGAGTTTGCTATTGAGCAGTGTGACATATGACACCCGTTGCCCTTTAGCTACTGATGTGTCTCCAGCTTTTCCAAGCCAAAAGCAGAACCCAGATTAGAGCAACATATATTATTTAAGGGTGTGTTTTGCAGATGCTGGTTGGGACATGAAACCAAATGGAGGAGTGATTAAAAGCTGAGAACAAAGGGGAAACTTCACTGGAGAAAACATTTCTGGGAGGAGAAATTTAAGTTAACTTGAACGCATAAACTCGTCAGTTTTACCGCAGAGTGGGTACACAGGGGGTGTGTGTGGGGATATGTTCACAAAAGGACAGGGAAACCTCTCTGCAGTTCTTTGTAAGAGAGGACCTGGAGGTGTCTTGGGGGTGGGGAAGATCTTGGAAGGTGGGAATTTCTTCTGGACTTCAGGGAGAAATGATGGAACCAAAGGGAGAAATTCAAAGCAGGTTAATGAATTCATTCTGGTATTCGTGAATTCAAAGCAGAGTCTCATCAGCTCTGTCCTCCCGCTTCTGTTTGCCGAACCAGCACTAAGCAGGATTCCCTAGGCTGCTTCATCACTCCCTGCTATTATTCTGGGTCCAGGACATTCTCCGGCCTCACGCCGGACTCCGTGTTCCCCTCTTCTCTGGCTGAGCTGTTTTTCGCCAGCCACTCGGAGAGACCGACTCCCCGCGCGGCAGGCAGCACCCCTCGACTCTCACACTCATCCCGGACTGCGGCGTGGGGAGGGGTAGGGGAGCCACCAACTCGCGGAAAACTTCCTCTCGGGAGGTGACTGGGGTTTTCCGGCTTCCCCCAGCCCTCCCGCTGCAACGCTTCCCCGGCAAGGACCCGCGCCCTCTGCCACCTAATGCGCCCAGGACGCGGCCGCAGCCGGCCCGGGGCTGCTGGCGGGGCACGGCCAGTGCGCGCTGACTTTGCGCCACGACGCTTTGTTGTCCTGCCGCAGGAACCCGAGGCGGTCTCTTTCCACCAGACTTAACCCGCCCGCAGCAACAGCCATGGAAGTTGCGGTGGCACGGAGGGAGAGGGAACCGCTCGGCGCGGCATCTGTTTTGGATGTTTTTTCTCTACACAGTCCACTTCTTTCCTCCTTCTTGGGGTAAGTGGAATCTAGTGCGTAATAACGAAGGGGAAGAATTAACGGCGATGGAAGGCGATTGCAGTAACACAAAGGGTTAATGTGATAAGTTGTTTTTCTTGGGGCGTTGTGTGTGTGTGGGGGGGACTCTCCCTTTATACCCTCCATCCCCCGCAGTCCATTCCACATACGCAGTTTAGGAGTTGGGACTTGATTTCAGGCACGTTAGCAGAGGGCGTGCAGGGATTACTTGATTTTTGGTGAATCCCTCCCCACTCGTGTCGTCCACATACTGAGAAGGGAGAATGGAAGTGGAGGAAAGAAAGCCCCAGAGGTTGGGGGTTGGGGTGGGGCGAGTGATTTAGCAGAGAGATCCTAAGGGCCTATGACTAGGGCAAGTCCTTATCCCACATCAGGCATTCCGGACCCCTGATCCTTCTCTCTCACCCCAGTAGGTCCATCCTAAGCTTTCCTAAAACCATCCTGCTGATGCTTTCTGGGGGAAGGTTCTCCAAGGGCCCAGTATAACTTCTGAGGAAAACCTCCAATCATCTCATCCACAAGACCTGCTCAATACATGTTGATTGATTGACTGAATGATGCACCCTAAGGCTACATTTTGTGCCATGGGAATTTGCCTCAGAGAGTGAACTAATTCCCTGATGGAGGCCTTAGGGCAGCAGGGTAGCCCAATTCATTTTGCAAAGAAGGAAGGGCTGCAGTCCTAGATAATACAGTATTTAGATCCTCACGACCCTGAAGAACCCATCTGACAGCTTCAGGGTCAAGATTCATGGATCCAGGGACCAGATGCGCTCCCTTGGGTTTGACTCTCTGTGTTGTGACCTTGGGCATATTCCTTTACCTCTCTGAGCCTTGATCTTCTCATCTGTAAAATGAGGCCAGTTAGAGCTTCTTCAACATGACATAGGGAAGATAAATGGAGAGAAGTATGAGGCTGTGAGGGGCCATTTGATACATGTCAGTCTTGCTCCCCTATCCTCAGAGGCTTCGGGAGAGAAGGTGTCTTTCTCAGGGGGCACTTCTCTCTGACTCAGATGCAAGTAAAAACATTGCATTGCAGTGACTGGGCTGGAGCCCTCCTGCCTGTGAGCAGTTGAGGAGAGGGAAGAGTGAAGCTCTGAAGGCAGTCTCAGGAGCTTAAAAGCAGCTCCCTTGGGGTTTTGGGGCAGAATTCACACACATACTAGTGTCTCTGGGGGCATGGCTGGAGAAGCAGAAATTCCTTGTTTGTCTCATTTCCATGTCTCCTCCATCCTCTCAGCCTTCTAGTAGAGGGAAACAAAGTGTGGAAATGGACTCCCAGAGAAAGTGGCGATCAAGTGGCTTGGGAATCTGCATCTGCAGGGCTGAGGAGTCAGGGTAGCGCCATCAGATGGTAGCAGGTGTGTCTGAATGGGGTCTGCAGAGAACTCAGCATTCTGGTCCCAGCAGCCTGCAGGGTCAGTGACAAAGCACTTACCAACCCTTCCCACAGATGACAGTGGACCTCTGGGGGTCTTGCTCTGGGACTCCGAAGCCTGGATGTGACAGTGGGGGGAGGATGATGAGAAAGAATGCTGCTGTAACAGGGCTCCCAGAAGCCTCAAGGTGCTAGAGTGGCATACACCCAGAGCGCAACTGCCAGTGTAGGGCTTTAGGGCCACAGTGGGCAGGCTTGGCAATAAGCCAGGTAGTCACGCACTCTTTCATAAGTAAGGGCAGCAACAAACCTAGCTGGACCTCGTGGGCACTAGACAGTAAGACCCCTGAAAGCAACGCCCATATCTATGTCGTTCTTTTCCATACCACCAGCACCTGGCACAGTGATGGCACATAGAAAGGGTTCAAGATATATGTCGAGTGGACAGTGAACGGAGAGTAATTTAAACTACTTTCTGTCCAACACTGCTTCATGCAGCTTATGCCTTCATTTAGCAAGTATTTCTTGAATATCTACTATGTGCAAGTCTCTGTTGCTAGGAGCCGAAGTAATTTGTAAGCATCCTTCATATGGGTACTTCGAGTGGCCCATTCAAGAGCATCTCAGCACCACCTGGCTCTTCTGGAGATCGAGGCCTCAGTGGGGGTAGGGGAAATGCGCCAGGTTCAGCCTCTTTCCGGGAACATGTGTGGGGTCCCTTCGCACTTGCTCCTGCTGCGCTCCCGGGCTCCCGGGGCCGCTAGGTCTTGGCAACTCCACTTTCCTCTGGGGCCGTGGCGTCTCTCTCCAGCCCCTTCCAGGGCCTCCGAGCAGCGGCCCCAGCCGGGCGGCAGGTAGCTGGGGAAGGGACCGGGCTGCGCCTGGGGAGCGAGCTTCCCCGGGCGGGGAGAGCGCGGCCAACGCGGAGCGGTCCCAGAACAAAAGGCTCATGGCTGGCACCGGCCTCCTCCGAGTGCGCTGGGGACGCGGGTTCGGGGCGCAGGCGGGAGAACCGGGCGCGGGAGGGGGCTGGAGTGGAAAAATGAAGTGAGAAAAGAAGGCTGTGTGTGTGGATGCCCGGGGTGGGAGCGGCGACAGGAGGTCACCCCCGAGGCCGAGGTCTGCGGCGGGGCCGCCGAGGCCCTTCCTCCGCCTCCTGCAGCGCCTTCCAGGCAGCCAAGCGTGTCTCCGGCTGCAACTCCACCAAGCGCGCCGCGGCCGCCTCCACGCCTGCCTGCCCGCCCGCCCGCCGGCCGGCCGAGCCAGTAAGTAGCGGCGCGCCTGGCGCCCGCTCCCCGCCCAGCCGCGGCTTCCGGCCGCCGCCTCCGCCGCCTCCGCCGCCGCGCGCCGTCCCCCGCCGCCCCGCCGCCTCGCGGGCGAGTCCGCTCCGGGCCGCCGCTCCCGGCCGGGCGCCCGGAGCCCCGCGCGCCTCCGTGGCCCCGCGCCTCCACCCGTCGCGCGCTCTCCCGCCGTGGCGCGGCGTCTGCGGCGCGCTGCGGGGAGGGTCGCCCTCGCCGCGCGCTCCCCGGGTGCCGCGCCACTCCCACGTCCAATGGCTTTCGGGGGGTGGGGAGTGGGGGGCGTCGCCCGGGGGCGAGGAGCCGCGGCCGGGGTGGGGCGTGTGCGCTGTGCGCGGCCGAGCGAGGCTGACGTGCCCGCCGGAGCGCGCGCCCGGGCGAGTGTGTGTGTGCGGGAGTGTGTGCGCACACGCCTCCGGGGGCTGGAGTGACACTGCAGTGGGTTTCTCCCTCGCGCCGGCCCTCCGGCTGCTCAGCCCCCCACCTGCCGCCACCGCTTTGGGAAGCAGCGGGGCTCTTTTATCTTCCTGAGCCTCCCTCTCCATCCACCCCTCCCCAGTCTTACTTTTCCTTTCACCCAGGGGGCTGCAGCTGGCCACCCCTCAACCGGTGCCAACACCTAAGCCGTGTCCAGTCTCTCCTTAGCCAGTCTTTTCCACTTATCCTTCTCTGGGGTTCCTCCACGAGCCAGCCCAAGGCTCCCCCATCCTTGGAAATTGTTTTGTTGGACTGCTGTACCGAGGCGTGTAAAGCTTGAGGACTTTATTCTTATTTTGATTGTTTCCATTTCCTCCCCTCTGGGCAACGGAGCAATGAAATTTCCAATCGAGACTCCAAGAAAACAGGTGAACTGGGATCCTAAAGGTTGGTATTTCCTACTTTTGGCGGCCCTCGCCCTGCCTCCATCTCCGGCGTGCGCGCGCTTCCGTGAGTGGAAGCACTCTTGCTCCCGGCAGCGTGTGTCCTGAGGCTGGAAAATGCGCCTGGGAGCCGCAGCGCGGGTGGGAGGAGGGCGGAGGCAGCGGGGGTTCCAAACCCAGATAGTGCCTGTCATTACCACATAATCGTTGTCCCTCCTGGATTGTTTCAAAAACCTAAAGATACACCAAGCCGGCTGTTTGGCTTGAAATCACACCAAGTGTCGGTATTTGCTTTTGACTTTATGTGTGCGAGTGTGTGTGTGTGTGTGTGTGTGTGGTGTATGTGTGTGTGTCCTTTGTTTCTGGTGATCTTTGTCTCTCTGGCAGATGGGTGGGGTGCCTCCCCCTGGACCTGGAGCTGCGCCGCCTGCCCAGGGTGTCCTCAGTGGGAAAGGTTTCCTGGCAGCAAGTGGGGCTTGGATCTGCAGTAACCGTCCCTGGAGGTGGCCCTTCTCGGAGGGCATATGGAATAATGGAGCCCAGGGGGCCTTTGGAGTCTTCCCTCAATCTTATTACCAAACCAGGCAGCTAATTTGGCTCGGATCGGAGTAGAAGTGGGAGGGGGGAAGGGTTTGCGAGAAGGGTGGGGCTGCCAAGGGCTGGGGAGGGGGCACGGAGTGTGTCCTCCTGAGCAGTAGTGTGGTTTACACGCTCTGATGCATGTTGGACAGTGTTCCCTCGGCGCAAAAGAGAGCGACTAAGACAGATTTGTGTGTGCCTAGCGTTGACCACCGTGTCTGTAATTAGCATACAGATGTTAAGGCCCCTCCTGAGTGATTGGTGTGGGAGCAGAACAAGTTGAAACCAAGTGTCCAGTTTTGACAAGAATGCGCTTTATCATTTCTCTCAGCTCCTCTGAAGCTGGGTTGGGCTAGGCAACACCTCTGTGTGTATTGGGTTGAAATTGGTTTATTTGATGTGTGCAGGTATGTTTAATGCTTTTTTACGACTGCATTTATTCTTTTCTCCAGACCAGAAAAGAGGAAACCCACTTATTTGTTGAGTGAATGTCTTATAAATTGACTGGCTGTTATAGAATGAGGGAAGATGTGTTGCCTGTTTCAACACTGAAGCTGTTACACCTTAATACAACCCAAACCCAGTCCAGTTTTGTCTGTTGATCTCTGGAAAGTGTGCCTTGGTTTATTTTATTTTATTTTATTTTATTTTGTTTTGTTTTGTTTTATTTTTTGATCCCTGTAAAATGTATTTATTGAATACCTACTACTTACCAAATGCTGTCCCTGGAGATATAGTCAGAATAGTACAGACAAAGCCTTCTTGGAGTTTATAGTGAGGGAGGCAGACCTAAATCAATCAATGCACAGAAGAGTGCATAATTACATGTTTATGTATGCTCCATGAAGGAGAGCATCAGGATTTTAAGAAAGTGATAGATTGAGAAGGATCAGGGAGGGTGGGTAGTCAGGGAAGGTAGTCAGACACTTGTACTGAGACATGGAAGATATGTAGCGATTAATTGGCTACTGAGGAGGTGAACTGACCTAGAAGAGGAAACAGCAAGTGCAAAGGCCCTGAGGTAGAGGGGACATGTGTATTTGAGGAACTGAAAGGCAGTTTTCATGGCTAGGGCGAACAGCAAGGGAGAGTGTGTTTTGAGGTGTGGCCGGTGGATCCATAGGGTCAGACCCCAGAGCCTTGTGTTGTTGCAGGTAGGGTGGGGCTTTGGGGTGGGGGCAGGAGTGTTGCCTTTATCTTAAACCACTGAAAGGTCTCAAGCTGAGGAGAGACCTCATCTGAACTGAGTTTCAAAACAAGTGCTGTGTGGCTCTTGTGGATGTGAGGGACCAGATGCCATGGTGACTGGACCAGGGTGGTGGGTATGGGATGGAGAAGTGGGTGGGGTAGGGAGCTATGGAGGGCAGAAAATCAACAGGTTTTGTGTAAATAGAGTGTGGACATAGAGTCACTGAAATGACTGGGAAGGCAGCTGGGGCAGGACCAGTCTTGTGGGAAAGCTCGTGAGTTCAGTCCAGGGCTTGTTGAGGGGGGGATGTCCTGAGCCATCCGAGAGGTGTGTCAAGTGGGGAGTTGTCTAAAAAGTCATACTGGGATCTTCAAGGAACTCTGGTCAGGATGGAGGGCGGTGAAGCTTGCCTTGGCTTTGAGAATACGTTTCTATATGATCATCATTGTATATATTTATATCACAGTGCTAAACACAGATGAATCCAACATTTTACAGCTTGACACAGAAAGCAGTACGCAAGTAGCGTCTCCAGTCACAACTGATGGTGCTAAAAATGAAAAGACTCTGATAAAAATACCAACATTTAATGAGAAATCTTTGCATGCCAGGTGTTTTATGCACATTATTTCATATAGTTATTCTCATAATACTTATCCAGTGATATCAGTGCTTTGTCCCCACTTGATTGGCATCAGGATACCACTGAGCTACCTTCCAGTAAGATGCTCTGACTTCATGTACAATTGTTCTTGTGGGTGGGGTGATGGTAGTCTTTTCTAGCCAGGGGGTGGAGGCAGGAGAGGGGTCAGGAATGAGGGTGGCATGTCTCACACCTTATAGAACTATGTGTCAGGTGCTGTGAAGTGCTTGACATACATTAAAAAGTAAACAATTTATTATTAACTAATTACAATTTAACTAGAAGAATAAATTATTTTCTTTATTTAATCTTCTTTATTTAATCTTAGGAGGAAGATGCTGTCCTAATTTTACAGGTGAGGGAACTAAAGAACAGAGAGGTTGAGTAACTTACCCAGGGTCACACAGCTAGTAGATGGTGGGGTTAGACTAGAACAGGGGTCCTTATACATTCTTTGAGTCTGTCTCTGAAGTCTATCTCTTAAATTATTGGGACCTCTGGCTCTTGCCTGGTGAGGCTTGCAGAGCTCAAGGACTGGGGAAGCTCATTGCAAGGAGAAAGAAAACAATAAAAAGGAGTTGGGAGGGGCAAGGGAGGGAAGATTGAAAGAGGAGAAGGAGGAAGAGGAAGAAGAATGCCTTTTCTACTCATTCCTTTCTCCATTAACCCATCTGGCCAAACAGCATCTCTGCCTCTACCTCTGGTGGGCCCATCACTGGCCACTGGACAGACTTTGGGTCTGTTCTTTGGAGGTTTGGGTTTACACAGACAGACCAAGTATGTTTAGCAGGGCAGAGATGACGGGGAACCTAACATTAGAATAGAAAAGGGGAGAGACAGTTCTATGGACTGTAGGATTTGAGTATTAACAGACTTGAACCTTCAGGTGGAGATGCTCACAGATTGTGGAAGGAAGTTGTAATTATGATGTTTTGCTCACAGTCCCATTACCTGACAATTTAATAGCACAGAATGAAGGTGGATTGAGAGCAGATTGGTTTTGATTGCACTTGCGTGAATTAAGCAAAGCACTGTCAAGAGGTTTAGGTGCAAAAATAAGACCTAAATATAAAATGATTATTCTCTGGTGAGCTATGGCCTTCCTCCATATTTGTAAAGCTGAGCCTACAACAAATAGAGTAACTGCTTTTGTAGGACCAACAGAAAAGTAGGCTGGCACTGAGTCTTGGCTTTCATGTGCATTTTACATCGCTGGGGTCACTTGTGGATGATTTTTTGCTGAAAACTGGGATTGGTTTGCTGCTTTTGGGTATCTTAAGGGCTTTTAAAGATTTTATTTATTTATTTGAAAGAGAGAGAGAAGGATGAGGAGGAGGAGGAGAGGGAGAGGGACAAGTGGACTCTGCGCTGAGCGTGGAGCCCAACTCGGCGTTAGAGCCCATGATCCTGAGATCATGACCTGAGCCCAAATCAAGAGTTGGATGCTCAACCATCTGAGCCACCCAGGCGCCCCTCTTAAGGGCTTTTAAAAATCAGTAAGATCAGCAAACGATATTGCCACACCTCAAGTCAAGCAGATCAATATGGTATAGAAAACTCTGGATTTGGGGGCAAAAGAATTAGTTTCTAGAATGAGCCATAGCTATCATTAGCCGTGTGACTTTGGGCAGCCCATTTAACCTCTGGGTTTCACCCTCCTCCTGTGTGCAAAGGGGCCATTGACATGGCCTCTCTGACCCTATCTCTCCAACCTCTTTCTTGATTTGACCTCTGGGCTTCTTGTCTTCCTTTTGTTCCTCAGGTATATCAAACTTGTTCCTGTCTCAGAGACTTACACTTGTGCTTTCCACTACTTATAATGTGTGTTCACATGGCTGGCTCCTTTCCACCTTTGAATCTCACTCAGATGTCACCTTTTTAGCAAGGGCTTCCCTGTCCCATCTGAAGACCTCTCTTCTTGTTCCCCAGCCCTGTCACTTTCTATTATGTCACCTGCTCAGTTGTCTTCCTGGTACTTGTAATCATCTGAAAGCATCTTACTCATGTGTCTCAGATGATGCCAGCCTCCCTTGCTAGCATGTGAGCTTTATGAATGGAATTTCCTGTCTCATTGACTGTTATGTCCTCAGTGCCCCCAGGAAGAGCCTGGAACGTAGTAGGCATTCAGTAACTTTTGCTGAATGGATGGATGTGTGGGGGATTGGAATAGAGAGGATCTCTAAGTCTCCACGTATGAAGGAAATTCCAGGACTCCTCCATGCTACAAAGGGCAAAGTACAACTAAGGAAAAAGGAAGGATATCCCTAAATAATGGGGTATCGGAAGGGATGCGGGTATTCCCTCTGCTTGCAAGCTCCCATTTCTCTGAAGTCTCCAACAGACTTTTCCTTCTGTTCTCCCTTTCACCAGGAGTGAAAAGGCTGGGGGGGCGGGGTGGCGGGGAGATAGGGGCTGGGGTAGGGAGGCCATGTAGCCTGACAAAGATATGGTTGGTGTCCAATTAGTAATTTGGCTCATGTTGGCCATTGACACGTAGCTCTTTTTAGGTATTTAAATCTACTTAACGAAGAAGCAAAGCTTCAGAGCTGGAGCTGTTTTTTTTTTTTTTTTTTTTTTTAAAGCTGCCTTTTCA